ACTCAAAGGGGTTTAAATATATTCTGAGACTGATTACACCAAAGTTACAGTTTTTCATTTCTTTCCTGGGTCAGTATCTGATCGAATTAAGAATGTGGTGCTCCGAGGTAAAGATATAATTAAATATAGCATATGTAAATATGATGTATTTAATTATATCCACAAATTATAAAGTTCAGAATTCTAAACTTTAAATTACCCTACATGTGTAAGAATCTTACCAAGTACAATTATCTGATTCCATGGACAGGGAGCTATTTGTGGTAAATATACAGTATTTTCAGTATTTTGTTTGTCAAAGGAGTCTGGTGGCTTTAAATTCCCATCAAGGACAGTCTGAGGTAAAAAATACTGTGAAAATATTTACTTATTTAATAAGTGAAACACATTAAAGTCCATGATCATGTTTGTTTTTCCTAACTGGAGTCTGAAGAACCAGAAGGGCAGGAAAATGAGCCTCTGACCACAAATAAAACCAGATCTGTGTGTCAAAGACAAACCAAACTGCCTCTTTAGCTCTGAGAGTTTATTTATATTTTCCACAAGCAGGACAGGAAAAAAATAGCTTTGTGTTTGAATGTCATTAAGACCAGGATTTCAAACTTTAAGACAAACACTTGAACATGATGGAAACTTGGTAACTCACCAGATTAATCAAAGGACCTCCAGAATTCCCAAACTGCAAAGAAAATCAGACCCACGTGACATAAACAAACTAAACATGCCAGAGCAAATCTATTGTTTATATTTAGAAGTCTTTTCATTTCTAATGTAAGGAAAGTTAAACACTGCTCAAAATAAAAGCCCTCACATTGATGGTTGCATCCGTCTGTATGTACTCCATGTTGGAGTTGGCCAGGCCCAGCTCCTTGCTGCCCCTCTGAGCCGAGCTGACGATCCCTGACGTGATCGTGTTCCGCAGAGCGAACGGACTCCCCATGGCGACCACAAACTCTCCTTGACGAACATCCGACGACTCGGCGAGTTTCAGCGTGGGCAAGGGGTTCTACAAACCAAACAACGAGGCAACAATGAGGACCTGCGAGAACAGAGCTTCTCCAAACGCTCTCATATTCAATCTGATGGTTGAGTGTCCGGGTCTGTTCTAGGGATTTTACATCTTTAGTTCTACGACATTACTGGACCTAATAGGTACACTCCTGATCAAAATCTTAAGACCAGTCAAAAAAGAGCAAGAATTTGCATTTTGCACTATTGGATCTTAAGAAGGTTCTAAGTAGAGCTTCACAATGTTAAAAGAAGAAATCAGAAATCATTGCAAGAGACAAGAACTTTTGAG